TTTTGACAATTAACACGTAATCGAAAATTTTATAAACGAAAATACACACTATTTTACCCTGAACGTTAGTCAAGGCCTCATGAGCCAGCGTTCAGCAGGTACTTAACATATTTTTGATTGTCTTGGAGGAAAGCGTTCTCGAAGAGCAAACTATGTGAAAACGTATCTTTCCCACATACGTAAACATCCCATCACATGTTCGTTCGCCGAACGTGATCATCTTTGATCCCACTACATGCCCCAGGCGTTTGTTACATTTATTCCGAGACAACTGTACATCGATATACCGGTAGTAATAGTAAAAACAGTCAGTAGTGGTAAAGTAATTATATTTGCTTTGTAGCATTTTTGTATTAAAATGTAAATTAGATACTTCGCTTTGAATTCGTAGTTTTTTGGTAAACCATAACGTAATGTTCTCAAATCAAAGTGTAAAATTGCATTGCACGTTTGCGCTGCTACACCGTCCGAGGCCTCCAAGCAAGATGGAAAACATATTCCAAACCATGTGTTTCCAAGTTACTCGAATAGAAACGAAATGTGTTATTGAGTCACTAGAAGCGTAACGTAACTAACTTACAGAAGCTTAGCTGCAGCAGAAAGTAGTTTTCCAGCACAGTAGATTTCAACAATCTCCCTAACACTAATTCTTTTGCACGCCTGCAGCAAAAATAACAGGAGTTTGCCTCTCCCATGCACACACACACGCACACACACACACACACACACACACACACACACACACACAGAATACATGGCCCCAATAGCTCTTACGAGTAAAACGAACCTACTGTCAGCACCGCAGCACGCAAAGACGTACCACTCTACAGCCAAGCGCATTTGCTAAATTACACACGCCAGAGGGAATCATGGCCCCTGATGAAGCGATGAGGTGGACTTTTAAGTCCTTTCACCTAATTGAACTTCATTATGTAATTGAATGACAATGTCGTGCCTTTGGAAAAGATGAATTTGTTTTCAATCGAAACTATTTCTATTATCTGAGCAAATTTTATTGCTCAGGATTACTATCCTACCTTTTACTCTACGAAATTCAATTAGGGATAAAAGCTTCAAACGAACTTTACAGATAATACAAGATAAGAAGGCAAAAAGCTGCCGGGTAAAAGAACTATTTGTAGCGATGAATTTGGAATTGATTTTTTTGGCGGTATTTCAGGAAAACTAGGGACATGCATGTACTATATAAACTCTCCACTCTTCCCGCACCCTGCAAAATGAGATCTCGAGAAAACTTGCTCAGATATTTCGAAGAACAAAGCAGTGACCTCAAAGGCAGTTATTGGCGTTGGGCAGCGAATTCGCACCCATTTGCTTCTAGACGCACGTGTCCGAGAAAAATCTAGGTTCGTTTCAGTGCATAAAACTGCCAGCAAGCCAGAAAGTTGCGAATACGCACAAAGCGGCCACATTTCAACCCGGTGAAGAAAGAGAAGAAGTGCATTTGGAACGAACGCGGCCTGGCTCTCATCGCTAGCCGCATGACTGCGCCGGCGTTTAGTGGCACATCGCCAGGCCGTTGCGTCAAAATGCGTACAAGCAGTTGTTGGAACGGAGCTGCGGTCATATAGCGTGCGTAGGAGCATGAAGGAGGGAGTGGCGGAATAGAATTTCAATGCTCACAGCAGACGTTCTAGTTAAATCATCGGTATTATTTTGTTCTAAGTTACGAGTGCCCGTTCGAAAAGAGTATGCATTTAACATCGATTGTTTAGAGAGTGCCAAAGTAGTTTTTTAGTACAGGCAGTTTCGTGCTATTCTCCAGGGGTGGATACCGTTTTTTTTTTCTTTTTTATTTTCTTTCCTCGGGCAGTCTTACTCCTGCCCTTGCCCCAGCGGGCTCGGCTACTCGAAGTCACAGCCTTGGAGAGCAATCGAGGTAATTTGAGAAGGGAAACGTCACCGGCAGCTCAAAAAGTAAATAATAAAAGTCAGAAGCAGGAATTTTATTCCGAACAGGTTTAATGGATGTACAGCACGGTTAAAGAATAGCATAAACATACGGAGAGAGAAAACGCACAATTATTAACAGCGCTTATTAATAGAATACAGATGAATTCGAAATAAAATTGTTACATATAGAATTATCATATAGAAGTTTTAATTTTCGAGTCACTTGCATTTCGAGTTTGTGTACATTTGGCATAGCAATTTGAGTACTGGGGCGGAGAGATCATCATTTCAAATTGTGAACAGATAACATTTCTGGGATTTGATTTTAAACGTCTCAGAGAACAAAACCGTTGTTCGCCGTCATAAGTTAACCCACACATTAATGTTTGCTGTAAATTTGAACAAACGTGGAGAGCAATCCCGAGGAAAAAATTCATAAAACTTAATTGCACAATAGGATCAATGTTTCATTTATTACACATGAGATCAGTTACTTCAGATTGGACATATGTAGGTAGTGAATAAATACACAGTCTTCTGAACACAGAGTAACAAATTTATGAACTTCTGTCTGCAATATAAGTCAAATCTTGAAAACGAGAACTCGTGACAGATTTTTTAATGATATCAGTTTCAGAAAATCGTACGCATACATACAAATTCATAGGTTCTTATTTCGTGCATCTTCGGGAAATTCCGACAATCGTCATCAACATCACAGTCATCGATACCCGCCCGTCTGTATGTCTGTCGCTTTGCTTCGTTCTCAAGCAAATACATTGACTTCGCCCGCAGTTTCCGTTCGTGCCAGCTCCTGCTCTATACTACTCTGGACTGTGATCATAAAGGCGGTTCCTTTGTGCTTGCAATGGATGGTAGAGGCGAAAATGAAGGATGTATGGTGATGAAATATAAATGATGTTCAGATCGGATCCATGGAAATACAAGAATCCAAGCACATCTTAACTGCAAGTTTACGACCCATGTGTCCTGCATGGGGCTCGAACCCGCAATCCACATCTATTCGTAACTAAACGTTGTTCTGCTCCAAGCATCTCCGTCACTGAGCGAACTGAATTGAACATAGCTTTAAATAGGCGCGTATTTTTAGGGTTTACAAACAACAGGGGATTAAATATTTGCATTCGTTTAAAATATCGTTCGTGGCTGTAGTATTCAATTATTAGTGAATATGTAAATAAAATCAAATAATTACTACACTTCCTTCAAATGGTCAATAATATTGAGAATATTCATGAACGGTTTGGCTATCCTGGAATATTACAATCCCTATTGCCCAGTAAAAATTCTCCATTGCGATAACTAGAATTTGTTAACTTTTGATGTGACAAAACGTTTGATTACAATCAAAATATTTTGACATTTCTTCATACCACAAAAGGATACTGCATCATCTAAGAGAATATTGTCTCCTATCTCTCATTAACTCCTTTCCCAGTAAGTCCTTCATTAATGTTAGTCTCTGTTGACAGATTACAGCCCGTTTTTGAGATAGTATCTGATCATAAACTGTAGGGCATTCAATCTCCCCCTTGCTAATAGCCTCACAGCCTGCAATCAGAGTACACGCATGTCACATTTCTTGTTGAACCCACTCGCGATCGCCTTCGCTGCCCGTTCCCCGGCCACGCCTTCGCCTTTTGTGACACTGACACCGCACACGCCCTCGCTGCCGCCTTCATCACCACCGCCACTCCTTGCCGGCACTTCTAGCATGGCCCTCCATCCCACTCACCTTCCCCCTTACCGTCATCTCCACTTACGTACAGTAATATTACCGCATCCGCCTCCACCACCACCACCACCCACCACCACCAACTCATTCATCAATCACCAACTCATCCATCAATTCACCAACTCATCCATCAATCACCAACTCATCCATCAATCACCAACTCATCCATCAATCACCAACTCATCCATCACCACTTCAGCCCTCAGCACCACCTCAGCCCCGATCACCACCTCAGCCGCCGCCACCATCCTCAGCCGCCACCGCTTCATCCATCACCATCACCATCACCATCACCATCAACAACAACAACAACTCATCCATCACCACCTCAGCCGCCACCACCTCAGCTATCACCCCCACCATCACCCCGACCATCACCATCACCACCACCTCAGCCACAATCACCCTTCTAGACCCGAGGAGCGCTGAAATCGAAGGAACATAAGCAGAGGGTTGTACTGTCTTAAGGATATACTCTCAAATCTCTTCCGTGTGTAGAGCTGTTGAAACTCAAGCACAAGGTTATCATCATTCATTCTAATTATACCTCTGTAATATTAAACTACTAAAACAGTATTCTTGTGGGGGATAATATTGAATGTCACAAGGAACAAACATTGCAGATTTAAGTTTTTAGCGAAACAATATTGATCATAGTTATATCGCACTTAATAGACCGCAAAGACAGCATGAATGGTAATGGGCAATTAGTGGCATGTAGCCATAAGACGATTGAACTTTATTACGAACGAATTAGAGTAAAATGCAATAAGCAAACTGTACATGAAGAGCAAAAATGATGAATTGCATGCAAATACGACATTGAGGAAAGTTTTATAGCGCATGTTATAAACACAAACTCTTGTCGCATCTCTTTGGACGCATGCGTGCACCCCAGCACTTAAATTAGCCGCAGCAAGATAAGCGCGACCAAATCCCTTGGCTTGAACGTCCCTCCTGATTGCTCACAAACATCCCCGCTTTGTGGGCAGTCACAGCGACCGCCTCTTTCGTGTTTGGTCCGGGGCGCAATGCAAAACCCGCTTTTCCGACACGCCTTGTGTGTGTCTGTTGCGTGTTCGCCTCGTCTCCCGCGTGGGGGTGGCCACACAGCACTAGGAACGCCACCATGTTCTTTGGCTTGAACGTCCCGCCTGGTTGCTTACGTACATCCCCGCTTTCACAGCGACCGCCTTTGCTGCCTGCCCGGGGCGCACCAACGGACTGCAAACCCCGCTTTCCCATCGCGCCTTGCGTGGGTGTGTGGGTGTGTGGGTGTGGGTGTGGGGGGCGGAGAGGCGGCGCGGGGAGTGACCGGGCGCTGTTGCAGATGCACGCGGTGGGGCTGCACTCGGCGCTGGCCATCAAGCGCCAGCGCAAGCGGCGCGACGAGCAGAAGCGCGCGCGCGAGCGCCGCTACAGCACGCAGAGCACAGAGAGCGGGCTGACGTCGCCGCACAACAGCATGGGCAGCCTGGCGGAGCACCGGTCGCGCGGGGCGGGGCGCGGCGGCGCGGGCCGCGGCAAGGCTCCGGGCGACGCCGTGGGCTCCAAGGTCGTCACCAGCGTAGGGATGCTGCACATCGGTGTGGTGTTCCTGGTGCTAGGCGCCTTCCTGCTCGTGTCGGGGCTGCTCCCCGAAGACGTCAACTCCTGGGGCAGCTCGATCACCGCCGGCGGCTGGTTTAACGAGCTGGTGGTCACCGGAGCCTTCGCCTTCGCCATCGGCGTCTTCCTCATCATCCTCAACCGCATCATCTCGCGCCGCGAAGAGGAGGACCTCAACGAGTACGTGCAGCGCCAGCTGACGCGCTCGCGCTCGGGCCACCGCCTCATCCGAGACGTGGAGACCGGCTGCCTCACCACCAAGCAGCAGGCGCGCTCGCGCGGCGAGTCGCAGGCGCTGGCGGCGCCGGCGCTCGCGCCCGTGCACGGCTCGCCGGGCCCCAAGACGCCCGCGGCGCTGCAGCTGGACGGCGAGCTGCCGCTGCCGCTGCCGCTCTCCCCGCTCGAGCCCGTGCTGGAGGAGGACGCGTCGGAGAAGGGCGAGGAGGAGGCGCGCGCTATGCACTTCCTGAGCAAGGAGGCGCTCAGCAACGGCTCCACCACGGCCGGCAGCCTCAGCCCGGGCTCCCCGTCCGAGACGGCGGGGCTGCTGGGCGGGCCGGGCCGCGGCCACCACGCGCCCGCCCCGCTGCGCATCTGAGAATGCGAGCCGCGCGCCGCCCCCTTCGGCCCCGCCCCCAAGGTCCCGGTGGCGGCGCTGCTGCCGGTCTCCGCCCTGCCGGCGGCGGCGGCCCTCCCGCGCAGCCCGCGCAGCCCGCGCCACGCCCACTTCGCCTTCACCTACGCGCACGCGGCCGGGCCGCGCGAAGACGCCGGCGGCGCCGTCGACTACGACGCGGACGCGCTCGACGTGGACGCCTACGACCTCGACCTCGAGCCCCTGGGCTGCGTCGGCGGCGGCGACGGCCCCACGAGGTTCCCGCTGCCGCCGCGGGAGCGCGTCTACGCCCGCACGTCGCGCCTCTGAGCCGGGCCGCCGCCGTACGCGCGCACCACCCGCTCTCGCTCGCCCGGCAAGCGGACTCCCCCCGGGCGCCCCGCCCTCCGAGGACCCACCGAACATACACATACGTCTTTCTCGATTACTTTGGAGCGTTTTGTAAAGGGAGCATTTGACAGATTTCTTTACCATACGATATAGTTTAGCACAACGTTTTTACATTGCTTTCGTATTATAAGTAACGTTTAACGTCTATACTGTTTATAAAAAATATTCCATCTCTTCTTATAGGCATTTAAAAATCACGTATCATAGAGAAATACCCCGTAATGTTAAACTTTTCAATCCAAGAATATCATTCGGATAAACATGATCATTAACAGGACAATGACTTTGAATGCCCAAGTAGAGAAGCGAGGGGCTATCTGTGCGCAAATCGGATATCCTCTCGTAGACAACAAGGAATGAAAGACTGTCGAGCAGTGTGCTTTTTATTCACTCCTTTTTCAATGTTTGGCTGTCTTGAATTTATTGAAATAGATAGGAAATCCAACAACAGTATTGTAATATGTACCTACTCAAAGCAAAATTCATTCCATCTCAAGGAATGTTCACGAGGCCAAAATACATATAGACTGCCAGCAATCGTTGCCTTGTCTAATAACTACATGTTCGTTGAATTATCTCGTTTTCAAATTTTAAGCACATAACTGCTGATTGAAATGCATAGGACTAAATACAGCGAAGCCTATTTTATTACAGTTAGCGCGAAGAGTAGAATTTCTACTTTTCTGTGTAAACCAGCTTCGATTTTCTTGCGTTAGCAAAAATGCTTCGAAACATTTTGGAACTAATTGAATCAATATCAAAACTATTTGGGAAGATAGCGAATTTCACGTTTTCCCAAAGTATGAAGCTAGAAAAACAAATCTCTACTATACATACATCATTTAGAAATGATATTTAAGACTAAGAACTGTTGAGAAACAAAAGCTGACGGAAAAGAACAAATTACTCGTAAGGCATTCCAATGATACGATATTTCGTAAGTATCAGAGCAATGAGTCTTAGCTTGTCAGAATATGTAGCTTATGTCAGACTGAAATTATGTTGGGACAATCGTATAAGGAAGATGCATTCTTATTAAGGGCATGGGAAGGAACCGTCCAGGTGACAAAATTATTTGAGCTGTTTGTATTATCTGAACAACCAAAGTTAACAGCTGCCTTTAAAAGCAGTAATAAGGTCAATTTAATTTATCAGTGACAGCACCTAGTGCATACAAGTAAATCCAGCATCAGTGATGAAATTAATGCAGTGTTGAGTCATACTGCACCTTCCTTGAGCAGAAATTTATGAAAAGTTTATGGTACATGCAGAAAAATATTGCAATATCCACCAGCAGAATGGTAAGATATCACACGCACAGGACTATTCACATTTTCCAGTAGATGAAATATAATACTTCAGAATTATTTGGAAGGAAACATTTATTTACACATCGAATCAATGTGTTTTCTTAAATATTTGTTCAAAGAATGCCATTGCTGTTGCTACTGCTGTTCTAATTGGAGTACTTTTCTTGTTCTGCATATTACATAGTGCCAACAACAGTATCAACTCCATCAAAGAACCTTTGTAACAAATGTATTTCTGAAACATTTTTTAAATTTAACAAATCACATACATTACATTGTGTATTAACTCAGCAAGGTGTTTGAAGCTGCTTGCCTATAAACATCTCGCTGGCAGCTGTTCGTGTTGCTAAAGTTGTGTTTTATTCCAGCTCTTTTCCTGAAAACAACTCATTGTAAGTTATTAATTTACATACTGTTTATCTTGATCTATTGAGAACTATATGTGTAAGTATTTCATGTTAATTGTACTGTCAAATGTACTCGTATCAGGTCATCATATTCAATTTTTGAACACAATGATGCAAAGTATCAGTACAAGTTCCCTGTGTCTTAAGTTATATGTTATTTTAATGCCTCCCAGAAAAATGTATTTTGTAAAGTTTTACATGGTATGGTGTTCTGCTACAAACTGCCGCTTTCTGCAAGCTTGAGCAAACAACCGCACTCAGCAAGCGGCATGCGCTTTTTATGCTACAAAGCAACTTGACATATGTCTATCCTTTGTTCAGAACACACTAAGAAACAGTGAAATACATCATAATTAGCTTTTGATAGCAATTTTATAATATTCTAACCAAGTAGGTAAATGCAATATTTATAAAATAAATGCTTGTTGATAAATAATCTTTAAATATGACTTGCTTCAAACTGCCCTTTTCACTAAAGGGTAATGAAATTATACTATATGAAATAATAATGAAAATATATTTAGGAGGCTTCTGCAATTTTGTGGAAATAGTTTTCTTTTACTCGTGGATTGATCAAGTGTGATTTGCTCTTCTACCAATGATCAGTGGTTGCAAATAGCCCACAATTGCCGAGATATCTCTTAAATTAGAAAAATATACTGACTCATTCTCCACCATTTGTCAGTCTCTCTGGAAACAAAGGTTAAGGCATATGCCAAGTTTTACTTTGCTGTGGCACCATGTATCAATGCATTTCATGACACAAATATTCTTAAAGTGTTGACATTAAAATAAAAAGTATTAACAATCAATGATGTCTTCACAAGTCCTGAAGCACACTGAATTTGCCTCCTCCAAAATAAAATATCCTTTTTTATTTTAGCAAATATTTATAATTTCAAAATTACCTCTGCACTGGTAATAATCTTAATGAATATGAGAGGTGTACACGCACACACAAGAATACATAATATATTCATAAACATGTCATATTTCTTCATTCCTGTGTATATTATCTTCATAATAAAAAATGTACATATATTCATATTTTGCTACATATTTTTACAATTTAATTGGACGTATATATGTGTTCTCAAGAAAGATCTAGATTAAAATTAGCCACATTTAGACTAATCAACCTTTATATCATAAAGGCATTTTAAATTTAGTGTCATCATACTATTTTCAATTAGTAAATTAATTTACTATCTTGCGTGGTACTTTTTGAACTTTCTCCAAAATATGTAAACAATTTAAACATGGGAAAGAATGAAATAAAAATATTTCATGGAATCTGGCTATGATACTCAATTAAGAGCCAAAATGTAGTTTACAGAAGCTCTTTTCATGTACTTTTGTACATATAAATTAGACATACTATTATAAGATAGAATGTTAATTAAGATCTAGAAAATTCAAATTGCTTACACGAGCGAAAATGAATTCTGGATACTCATATATGTTGAAGACCAATACAATGGATAATTAAACAATGCTGAAAACAATTAATAATCCAAAACATACCGAAAGATGGTATGACTGTGTACCTGATTTTAAATGGTTCTTTATTGATATTAAAGTGATCTGTGAAGTATTGTTGAATATCTACTACTTAGGCTTGGTTTTTATCTATCGAGCTTTTTGATCATAATTACAAAATCTTGTTTATCAATTTAATATCTATAAAACAGAAATGAATCAGTACAATATGCACACAAATTGAAACAATATTTTCTTACACATTTTCTCTGGTATTTCACATACATTCTGATTTTTATAAGTTTCTATTTTCTTTTCTTTTTGTCCAATGTGACCCTATATTAGATTTCCTATGAAAATTCCTACATCCCTATACAATCCTAATACAACAATTAAAAACAAGTTGCTTTAAAACTGCACATTTCTAAATTTATGACTCAGGAAATCAAGTAAACCATTTAAATTTTGGTTACGAATTTTGTATTCTATCTTCCAAAACACTGAATGCCCTATGAATGAAAGTAATATTTTTTCTGAGATTCACTAAATCTTATTACATTAATTTGTGACCACCAGTTAAACAAATTAATTTAATAGATGTAATAGAAATTGATACTTCCCCAAATGAAAACGTGATTAGTACTGACTAACATAGAATCGTTGTGCTACTAAGTTTTCTCTATCATGAAGTATTCATGATATTATCACAGCCTTATTACTGCCTCCAGTACTTCTTATGGTGAACATAACATCAAAGAAGATTTTAAGATAAATCATTTTTATTAATTCTGCTGTTTGAGACTTTTTGTGGCGTGTTTGGGGCTCATTATCAGATAACTCAAAACTAGAGTAGATTTTATTGTGCATTAGTTAATTACCGTTTATTCGCCCTATTATAATCAGAGTTCAATTTGCTTCTGCAACAATCCATATGAATGACAAACAAATGGTGTTTTTACAAACTTCTAAAACCTAATTTTCATGTACGTATAGAACAGTATTCATTTATGTATGCATATTGTAATAATTATTCCGATAATAAGTCATATGCAGAAGAAAAGTGTTATCAAATGCTACACACTCAAATCACACAAGTAACTTTTGGCAGTTACTTTAAACCATTTGAAATTAGGTACATTATTTCTATAGTTCTGCAAAAGCATGCTTTCAAATATAACTTTTCATTTAGCTATTATTCTTAGCTTTATTTTAAACATTTTTTGAAAGAGTAAATTTCAATGAATGATATTATAATTTTAAGCATGAATTCTTCATGAACTACCAAATATTCCAATAAAGTTTTCATAATTTCAAAATTTCTTGTAAGAGTATGTCAAAAATTTATACATTTCCTTAGATCAAATTTTACAGATGCTTGAAATTTAGTTCATACATT